CCACTCTTGAGTCTAGTCGCTCCGGTGGCTTTATCTCTGGGGGCGTGGGCCACCATTCCCGGGTCCCTGGTGTGGGTCTCTTCCAGGGCTCAGCGCGTGCCCTCAATCTGGAAATCCATGTGCTTCCGTTCGTTCTGGAAAACTGTCTTGCATTTGATTCCTTGATCATTTCTTCCTTCCTATGCTCTCTTCTCTCTTCTGGAACTCGCATTAGTAGCATACTGCAAGTTGTTTGTTTTCTAAGTATTGTATATTTTATCTCCTGAGTTCTCTCTCTCTCTCTCTCTCTTTTTTTTAAAGATTTTATTTTTAAGGCATCGCAACCGACTGAGCCAGCCAGGCTCTCCTCTCCTGGGTTTTTGTTTTTTTTTTTAATTTACTTTCTAGGAGATTTCCTTAACTTTAGGTTCCCAACTCTTCAATTTTTCTACGCATTTTTTTCTCCTATATTTTATACTTCCGAGGGTCTTTTCTAATTCTTGACTATTTTTCGTTTATTACATCCACTACTTGTTTTATGGATGTAGAATTCTCTCTTATGCCCCCTGAGGATATTAATTACAGACCAGTTGGTTTGCTTTTTGTTTTAAATGATGTTTCTGTGTTCTTTGTGTTTCTTTGGTTTGGTCTCCACCCAGATGAGGTTTTTTACAAATCCCTAGGACTCTGTGGCTCTCGGTTCATGGTTGAGAGTCAGGTGGCATGGCCTAGAAATTCAGTGTGCACAGCAGGCTATGCCAGGTCACCCCACTTTAGATGGGGGTTCTGAGCTGGCTTTTCTCTGGAGCACTACTGTAGGCTGAATGCTTGTGTCTTCTCAAAGTCATATGTTGAAATCCTACCCCCCAAAGTGATGGGAGGTGATAGGGTCATAAGGGTAGAGCCCTCTTGAATGGGATTAGTCCCCTAAGAGAAGAGACCTCAGAGCGGTCCCTCCTCCTTCCTGCCATGCGTGGACACAGCAAAAAGACAGCCATCATGAACGAGGTAGTGGACCCTTACCAAAGAGTGAATCTGGGCCCCCTTGATCTTGGACTTCCAGCCTCCAGAACTGTGAGAAATACATTTCTGTTGTTGTTGTTTTTGGAGATTTTATTTAATTATTTGAGAGTGAGTGAGAGAGAGAGAGCACAAGAGGGGCAGGGTCAGAGGGAGAAGTAGACTCTCCACTGGGCAGGGACCCTGGTGCAGGCTTCGATCCTGGGACCCTGGGATCATGACCAGAGTCAAAGGCAAACGCTTAACTGACTGAGCCCCTTAGGCACCCCCAAATTTCTGTTGTTTCTAAGCCACCCAGTCTATACTATTTTGTTAGAGCAGCCCAGATGGATGAAGACAGGCACCTCCAATGTCCATACCCGAGGTCTTCTCTCTGGGGCCTTCTCTCTGGCGAGGTAACACTTTGCTACCTACATCTGGGAACAGAGATTTGGGATGGGGCAGGACAGACATCCTCAGACTTTCACACTGTCTTTTTAGCCACCCTCTTCAGCTCCAACCTCATGGTGCCTGTATTCCCATGACTCAAGGTCTCCACTGTGTCCTCAAGGGACGAAGCTCTAGCCTCTTCCCGGGGCGTAGCCTGGCTGTGTGGACTGGGGAGGGGGACGCAGAAGTCTGAGTGCTCTGTGTTCAGATTTCCAGCCAGCAACCCCCCCCGCCCCGCCCAATGCTGCTTCTGCCATTTTCAGTCCAGAATTCAGCGCCGCACCTCCCAGTCCTGAGACTGTCCTGGAATGCCTCAGGAACCTCCTTGGCTGGCGTTGAGGTGGGCAGCTTCCCTCATTCTGCCAAGCCCTTTGTCTATTTGCCATCTTCAAAATCTGCTCGTTATTTCTCATTTGCTGCGGCTTTCTGTCCCTTCTCTTTGTTCTTGAGAATTCATACCTCTCTGTTCCTTTGGTGTCTTTCGTAAGGGGCTTTGGGAGGGAGCAGACAGCCATGTGTCTAAAGTGGTACTTTTTAAAGGTTTTGTGGAGGTAACACACCGAAAGGACAGTAGTTAAGACTATATTGGACAGGGGCGCCTGGGTGGCTCAGTGGGTTAAAGCCTCTGCCTTCGGCTCAGGTCATGATCCCAGGGTCCTGGGATTGAGCCCCAGCTCAGCAGAGAGCCTGCTTCTCCCTCTCTCTCTCTGCCTGCCGCCCTGCCTACTTGCATTCTCTCTCCATCTCTCTAATAATAATAATAATAAATCTTCTAAAAAAAGCTGGAGAGGGATCAGTTCGGGGTCACACTGGCTGCCAGCCCTGCTCCCCAAGACAAATCATGCAGGGAAAGGGGTGGCCGCACGCACAACAGGGCTGGAGAGAAAGGGACCATGGTGGTGTGTAGGGAGACTGTGGTGTTTGGAGTGAGAATGTGGGGGACCGAGCCCTCAGCTCTGGAGCTTTTCTGCTCTGTAACTTTGGGCATGCCCCTTACCCTCCCCCAGCCTTAGTTTCTCTCTTTTGTCCAAGGGAATGACATTGCGCACCTCATGAGGCTGCTGTGCGGATGAAGGAGGCAGCCTAGCACACTGCACGTACTTGCCCGTTCCTTGTCAATATAGGACGAGTGATACTCGAGGCAGAAACGTGCCTGCCCCCCATGCCTTTCCATGGGGATGTGAGACCAGCTCCCTGCTATTCTAACGGGCTCCCCCAAAGGGATGGAACTTGGGAAGAGACCTGCCTCCTTCCCTTCCTCCAGCCCAGACTCTGCTGGTTATTGGTCCCTTGGGGACTGTCCAGAGATCCCGGGAAGGAATGGGTGTGAGTGCCCTAGGCAGGCTTACCTCCATGCCATGGGCTCCCGTGCCCTAGCAATCCCGGCTCACCCAGAAAGTCTGGAGAGGCTGATGGCAGCCCCTGGGACCAGGAATGTGTATAGCCCCTCACAGCCTCCAGCCTGCATTGAACCTTCCTTCCAATTTAGTGAGCAGAGTCAGGCTGGGAACCCTGTGAAACCGAAGATCCCTTTGTCCCAAGATACGGGGCAAAGAACTGGAAAGCCCAGAGTCTTCGAGGCTGCAGTCCTGGGGCAAGAAGCGGGGGACCAGCTCCCCTCCTGCTGAAGCTGGGCTTCTGACTCAGCTAGAACAGGCGTCCTGGGGGGCACTTGATAAAGCCTGGAGTGTAGTTAGAGGGGCCCAGAGCACACACAGGGTCACACAGACGCGTGTGTCTGAATGTGCACGTGGTTCTCATATTCACTCCTTCCACACGCCCTCTTCACACACACAGGCTTGCTTCTTGTAAGACAGAGCCTCTCCCTGAAGCAGCACGCCCGTGCCTGCACACGCACACACATGTGCACACACACACACACATGCGTGCTCTTATCTCCTATCTGCCTAAACCTAAGGCTGTGAGGAAGGACGAGGGGGGCTCCGCAGGGACTTTCGTAAAGCGGGGCTGCCTAACCTCAGCCTCTTCCCACCCACAGTCTTCCTCAGAGAGGGGCCTGGGTCAGAGAGAATAGGATAACTCACTTCTCAGATAGGTGTTGATAAGACTCCTCTCCCAGAGGCACAGAGAGGCGCCCTAAGGCTGTTTGGGGGAGGAAGGGCCTTGGAAACACCAACCGCGTGGCCCTGTCCTGCGGCGCTAGGAGGGAGCTCACCGCAGCAGGGATAATTTGAAAGATCCTGGAAGACGGTTTCAGGGTAGAGATGGGGGTGGGGCAGGTTGTCCTGTTCCCATGGCAGCCTATCTCATTGCTATAGCAACGCATCCGCCTTCATTCAGTGGAGTCCTGGTTTCTGTAATGGGTGGAACACTGGGGCACTTCACGGGATGCCGGTGGCCCCATAATCCTTTTGGGAAAGAACAGTTCCATCCCAGACCAAGCAGGGTAGGAGTAGGTGCGGGCTGCCTAATAGGGCTGGGTTTTCCTGTGGGCGGAGGGGTGGATTTCCTCTCAGTTTCCCTACTGACCAGCCTCTATTACTTACTGCAGCAACCAACGCCCCAGCTCTCCTGGGGGGCCTCCAAGAACGTCCCCACAAGGCACACTGGCCTTTCCGATGTCTGGGCCTCGCTGGCTCAGATGGAGTCTCAGGGCTGACTGTAAAGCAGGGGAGCCAGGCGCTGGTGTTGGGAGCCTGATGAGGCTCGCTGGTCAGGGATTGTGTGCCTTCAGGGAGTTATGTATCTTTCAGACCCTCAGGGTTCTCCCCTGCGAAAATGGGGCTACCACATGCCCAGCCCTCTGGGTGAATCCAAGGGTGCAGAAAAGAGATACACGTAAAGAACTGGACCCATCCGGGGCTTTCCCTGAGGGAGGGGCATGGACGGCCCGGCCATTTCTGACACCCCCTTGCATGCCGAGTGGGGCATCCGGGCCTCCGTCCGAGCGCCCCAGCGGCGGTCTGACTGTGGGGCTGCGGACAGGGCAGTGGTTGGCATCGTCTTCCAGATCAAGCTGTCCCGCTGGCTGTATACAGACGCCGTCTCCCCCAGGCCTAGATCAGTGCTGCTCAGAGTGAGGGCCAAGGCTCACGGCCCTCTGCAAAATGTTGTAACCTGTGGGCAATCAGAGAGGCCTAGGCATGAAGAAGACAGCTTCAGAAATTTTAACAGAAACCTGATATTGCTGAAAGACCGAAACAGCATCCAGTTTGGGTTTCTCTTCAGTTATTTAAAAAAAAATTTCAGTTTTTTAGTGATTCGCTGCGTGTGTTTGTAAGTATCGATCTGCCCCAGACTGGGGAAAAAAAACAATCTGGTCCTTCGAGTCTCTAGTTCGAAAAGCACTGTTATCTGTGCTGGATAAGGCGAAAAGCTATCTTACAATCAGCAAAAGATCCAAGCGAGGAGAGAAGGAAAACAATCTCATCTGCGCTGCTCGCAGAAATTAGCCACAAATCACTGTGTGTCGGCAGCTTTCCCTTTATTACTTCCGGACGGAAACTCCGGGCCCCTTCCCACTGCCCTACCGTCCCACCAAACCCGCAAGCCGGGTTCCCTAGTCCGGGTTTGAAGTACACGCCCTCCCCCACCCCACCTGCACCGGGAGCTCAGCCACGCCAGGCGCCCCCGCCCAGCCTCGCGGGGGGCGCAGTCTGCCGCTTGCCGTAGCGCAGGCCGAAGGAGTTCCAGTTGTACGCGGGCAGGTCCTTTTCCCGCTGCACCAGCACCGAGCCCCGGGGGGCGGGGATCAGGCGGCTGCGGGGGGCGCACAGGCCCCGCCGCTGGGGCCCCGCGGGGCTCTCGGGAGGCGGGCACAGCGAAGCCCCCCGCGGGCTGGACTGAGCCCCGGCTGCCTTCCTCTCGGCGCACCGCTGGCTCTGCTCCCACGGGGCCAGGAGGGCCTGGGGTCCGAGCCGCTGGCCTAGGACAGAGCCACAGAGAGAGGCTGCGATGAGGCCAGGGCCCCGGGAGAGACGGCTTTGCAACACCGGCTCACGTCCCTAACCTGTGCTTGCCTTTCTTTCCTTGACCTTTAGGAAACCCAGAGCGCAAGGCGAGGCAGGACCCTGCCGTCTCAGCTCGGATGGCTCCTCTCTCTTTCTACACAGCTTCGGTTTCAAAGGTTTTCCAGGATGATCTTAAACATCTTTTATATTAAATTATTTCCTTTTTGGAAGCAAACGCGGTAGAGCTTGGAAATAAGCCTGCAGTATTTGCTGGACACTCAGCTTTGCCGCTCTTGGCTCCCTGCCGGGCCCTCCCTCCTGTCTCTGCATCGGGCTCCTGCACGGCGGGAGCTCCTGGGGTGGTGGGAGCCATGTTCATTCAGCTCTTTCTCTGAGTGCTTGAAACAGTGATGTGCCTGCAGTAGGGCCTCAGATGCTTATTAAATATATAAAAGTGAACGAACAGCTTGTAGTTACAGAAATGAGAGCAGAAGTAGGACCACTGTGCCCCATAGCCCTCCCCAATTACTCTGACCCCTAATAAGCTCCAGGAGGACTCCGTGAAGAATGGGAAATGATCTGGGTCACCTTGACCTGCTCACCTCCCCCACTGTCGGTATAATCTCTCCCCTTCATGCTGAGGGCTAACAAGGCTAATTTGGAACCCACTTCACATGCAAAAGGCTTGTTAAGTTCACTCTAATTTTTGGCAGGAAAATAGTGCCGCTAGCTCCGAGTAGACAAGAACCCCAGCCAATAGTGGCACGAGATTAGTGGAAATGAGGCTTGGTGTGTGAGTGGGTGTGTGTTGGGGGGGGGGTCGTTGGCTTTGGGCCCTGCTCCTCAATGCCTTGGCATACTTTGGAGAAGAGGAGTGTGGGCGTGGTTCAGAGTTAATGCTCGTCTTTCTAGAAGGCCCCTCCTGACTTGCTTCGGCCTGCCTGAGGCCCGGGAGGGATGATGGCTTCCTTCCTGGCTAAGCCCATCATCCCTGCGGTAGGATTACTGCTCAGGCTATACTGTTTCTGGCCTCACCTAAAGCCATTTGCCCGAAAGAGCCAACAGGTCAACGTCCCTGGGGCTGCGGGAGTGTTATTCTGTGGGGGAGCCTCGCTCAGCCAGAAAGAATACCTGATCCCGGAGAAAAGACACTGTTGGCCAAGGACCCCCTCCTCCCCCGACAGGGCCACACCTTCTTTGCTCTGGGCTATCTTCCGGGCTGGATGGTATCCGGTGTGTAGAGGGTACCTCCGAGTTCCATAGCAGAACTGCGGGCCGGAGAGGCTAAGCCCCGTGCTAGTTTGCCCAGGAAACTGACCCCCAAGCGGTGTTAAACCCACAACTTCTGTCTCGGGGACCGGCTTGTGCCCCTCAGAGACACACTCTTGGCAACTCCCACACCTGCTGGGATGCTGCGGCATTTGGTTGACTTTGGGGAGGCTTCTTTATCTTCGGGCCTCAGTTTCTCCAGCTAATCAGTTACACATGGACTCATAAGGTTGACAGGTAGTGAGGATCTGTCCTTTTGTTTAAGTCTTTATTTAATTTTTTTTTCCAATTCCCCACAAAGGGCCCGAGATCACTGATGAAAGAAACTTGCCTAGTAAATTCCTCCCCAACGGATCTGCTCAGACAGGTGGCTGGTGTAGAGCAGAGCATGCAGTAGGAGAAGACCACGAAGGAGCTCAGTGGTTAACAAGCATCTGAACCTAGGGGGGCCCACGGATGCCCAGAGAGCGTAGTAAGCCATCCCTTACTTGCAAGATTAATGGGGTCCCCAAATACGTTGCATGGGTTAGTCTTAGGTTCCCATTAAATGCAGTGTGAAACTCACATCAATAGACTAGCCTCCCTCTCCTTTGCAACAACTCCCCCCTTTCCTCCCAGACAATGCATACCTGTCGGTCCAGGGTTCTCCACGGGTGCCTCCTTTTCAAATGTTTCTCTGAAGACAGTGGCACAGAGGAAAAGCATCAGCTGCCACGAGACCAGTGAGTTCATCGTGGTGAGGAGGCCCAGGTCCTGTCAGTGTCCTGAGGCTGAGACAGAGGGAGGGGGAGGGGAATAAGCCAGGTGCATGGTTTTGTGGGCTGGGTGTTGGGGACAGAGCCCAACGTGAAGCGAAGAGGAGAGCCCGAGAGTGAGGGGCAGTGTGTAGGGGTGAGGAGGGAGGGATGAAGTCAAGCAGAGCAAGGAGCTCCACTGAGTGGAGCGCGCTGAGGTCCAGACATTTTCTGGAGCCTGGGAGCTCTGTGCAGGGCTCTGGATACATCCTGGACTTCCTGTGCCCAACTCTCCTGTGAGATTGCACCTTCCAGAACCTGGCCCAGCTCCCTCCTGCTGCAAGAGACTCCATTCCTTTCATTTTTTCAAGAAAAAAAGGAAGAAAGAGGAAATCATCTTGTTCTCCCTCATAGCCCTTCACATAAGCCTTGAGGACTGTCACTAAATTGTCTTATTGTCCATAATACAAGGAAGAGAAAAAACCTTTCCCTGATTCATCGGGTCAATTGTCTCCTTATTCTATTCTTCATGGACTCCAAGATGATAGGAATTGAACTGACCTCGTGATTTTGGCCGCTGAGATGGGAGCTGCGAACCCAGCCCTCACTAGGTCCCTTTCGCCTTCCCTCTCAGGCCCCGCCCCCACCCCAGCCCTTCCAGCTCTCAGGTTGAGTTGCCTTTGAAAGAGTCGTCCGGCACTCTGAGATTGTCCAACAAACATGAGTAAAGACAAACTGATGGGGAGGCAGGTCCAAAGGCTGGACAAAAAGGGTGTTGACCTGCCTCTGTGGTGGTGGGGGCGGGGCATGGCGAGTGGGAGGGGAGGTACTATCACAGGTGCCCGAAGGCTGCTAATGGTTTGCTCAGACCTGTCTGTACTTTTGTTCTTGCCCCACCCCCCATTCCTCTCCAGGACCTGGGAATGGGGCAGAGAGGAAGCCTGCTGAAGTGGAACCAAGAACATGAAGCCTGGCCCCAGCTCTGCCCCACTCCCTGTGGGGCGTGAGCAAGTTACTCCCATCTCTGGACCATATTGCTTCTCTGTGAAAAAGAGCATTGCATCAGGCTGGTCACCGACTATCCCCTCGGTTGCTCTTCCTTACAGACTTTGATTCTGGGATGCTCTGAAACCCAGACAAGGCTTTCTCCACGTACTCTAAAGAGAAGAGGCAGGATCAGATCATTAGAGCAGTGTAAACCCATTTCTTTTATGGCTTCAGGCCGTGCATGTGCCCAGTCCAGGTTAGTGCAGAGGTCATTCCTCATCACCGCACCAGCTGGGCGCTCTTCTAGGTGCTGGGGGGCGGTGGTGGTCACAGGTGTGCTAAGACACAAGGTTGCTCGTTTCCAGCCCCTCCCCAAGATCTAGCTCAAGAAATTGAGTCTTCTTAGCCGATCATTTCAAAATAACACCAGAAATGATAGGGGGCGTGTGGGTACCCGGGGAGCTGGGGGAGCCCTTGGAGCTCACCCCGGAGCGGGGCGGCAGCTTTGCCACAGGGGGCGCTCCGGAGCTGAGTTTCTGAAGAAGCTCGGATCTGCGGCGTGAATACAGGATTAAGGAAGGCATTTCCAGCAGGAGGCGCGGGAGCTGTCCCACAGGGGCCGGGAGGGCCGGGAGCCCCGGAGCTTTGCGGGAGGAAAGACAGTGGTGAGGCTGGAGGAGGGGCACAGGGGGGCTTTATCCCAGAGTAGGCAGAGCCCGAGGGGGGCATGTGTGTTGCATTTCAGATGAAGCATTCTGGCCGCTCTGCAGAAGCATGGTGGTGAGTGGGGAAGGTGGGGGGTGGGCAGGCGGTGTGGTTAGGTTAGTGTTCCTTCTTCCAAGCTCCTCCCACCTGTAGCACCTCCTCCTCCTCCTCGTAGATACCACCACCTGGCCAGGCGAGAATGCGCGCAAACACGGACACACACACGCACACACTCCTCTCAGTTCACTTCCCAGCACAGAAGCCTTTAACACACGTGGTAGAGTTGAATTGTTTGGAAAAGAACCATCACCTTTCACGGGGCCGGAGAGGCTGACCAGCTGTGGACAATTTTTGTGCCCCCACCGCAGGCTTTATACCTAGTGGGTAATAGATTCCGGGCGTGGTAGGAAAGCTTTTGAAGTGGGGTGGTAACCCCCGTTTCTCAGTGTAGGGGGCGAGCACAATGCCTGGGGGCTTTGGTTTGATTTGTACTCACCATCCATACGTTGGGAGAACTGCTTGGAGGAGTCCTATGGAACTCCCCGAGCCCTGAGGGGTTCCCCTGCTTGCTCCAAATGCTTCTGTGGCCTCTCATCCCAGCCAGAGCTCCCTCACTATCTTTATTCCTTCCACAGTAAGGGATCCCCAAGGTCCTGGTTTCATAAATGTGAGGGTATTCACGGAGACATCCCAGAATCATCTGGCCAACGTGAAAATCAGGAAAGATCAGCACCCCCTTTGCCTGCCTGGGATAGGTTTGTCAGTCTTAGAAGGAAATTCCTGCTCCTCCCTGGGGATCCTCACTGGGGCTGGACAGACCCTTCTCCAAGTGCAGATGCCTTCCGCCCCCCACCCCACCCCGTGCACCTACCTCGGCTCTGTTTGGTGGGGTCGGAGCTCAGTGGGGTCTCCAGGCGCTACTTGGGAGGGTGAACACCACAGAGAGGGGAGCTGGACTCAGCAGTGGCCTGATCACGTCCGTTTTATAAAGCCCAAGGTGACGTCTCCAGGCATAGGCCCACCTCTGCCTCCTCCTCCCCCTTGGACCCCTCAGAGAGCCCAGCGTTTATGCCTCCCACAGCCTGGCTCTCATGACTGAAATCAGCCTCTTTCTCCTCCTCCAGAAGCCCTCCAAGGCTGGCTTTCTGATTCTCACTGGTCCTTCCATCCTCCTCACTCCCTTCGCCCTAGACCCACTTAGCTGGAGACCCATTCTGCCCCCAAATGACTTGGAAATAGACAATCTGAGGGGGAAGAGAAGGGGGGCTCATGCCCTCCAGACAAGAGCCACAAGAGCACCCAGTACGAAGGCAGCGTAACGAAGGGGGCGGAAGGGAGAGGAAGGCACAGTCTGACCTAGGGGACTAAGAAAGCAAAATCAAGTGGCGGCTCTAGAAGCTGCATGTCCATGGGATGTGCCCAGGAAACCCAGAGAGCTGACCTCCAGGTACAGCCCCTGATGCTGCTTCTCCAGGGACCCCTGCACGTCTCACGGTCACGCTGCTCTGTGATCACCACATACCTTGCTCCGAAGGCAGCCACGGGCTTCCCGCTCCCGTGCTCAGTATAGACACCCAGGGCCCTCACAGACGGTTACTAAATGTACGTGTTGCGAGGCACCCTTGTGTCCTTCCCAGGCCTGCAAGAACACTCTTTACCCTGGGCCGAGGGGCTTCCCCGGACAGAGAATGTCTCCTCCATCAGACTCGGGCTCTCCGAAGGCAGGGGCCATATGGTCACCCTCAGACAGGAAGCTCTCTCAGCACGGGGGCTATCTGGCGAGTGCGCTCTGCCCACATCTGCCTAATTAATGGTTGAGTAGCATTTCCCACCAGCGTGCGGGATTAATACCCAACACTTGTCTGATGCCTGCTGCTAACAGGGGTTTACAAACATATTATCTCACTCATTAGGACTGTTAACCACCAGGGTAAAAATGATAGCCTCCGAGAGCAGGCCTGCCCCTCACTCCGAGGAATGCTGTGCATCGGCCTGCCCTGAGTCAGAGACTGGACCTGACAGGCTGGAGACGGTGACTTTGAGTTTCAGACACACAGCTTGGGGATTTAATCTTTGCTTTCCTCCCATAAATATGGGCCGGGCTGTGATACCAGCCCCAGTCCGGTCTCCGTGGGGGGCCCCCTGGATCTCTGCTCCCAACTGCGCCAACAGCTTTGTGAGCTGACTTGGGGATCTGAGGTCATTCATTCAACTCCGTCCTTCCTTCTGGACTTGGAGAGGTCTGGGTATGAGACAGCAGATGAGCCAGTGCAGGGTGGGGGCGGGCCCCAGTTCCTTTTCAGCCCCCTCAATGAAGGATCCAAGTTCAAGGAGCTCATCTCTGTTGTTCAGACCATTGATCTGGTGCCCTGAAGCCTCCGGAACAGCTGTGGGAGCCAAGAATCATTACTTCAGACAAAGAGCAAGGAGCACACTCCATTTCTATCTTTGTGGAGTGGGCCTTTAGAGCTGGGAACAGAGCCAAGTGCAGATAGGGAGAGGGGGGCCACGGGGATGAGCCAGCTGGCTGCAGGGCCTCCCCGAGCTTCTCAGGGAGCTCCTGTTCTGTCAGAAAATATGCTTTAGAGAAAGGGAGGGGCAGTGGCTGGGGACCACTGTCCCCTGCCTGCCCCAAGGAGAGAGTAGAATCTGCCACATGCCGCTGCTGTCATTGGCTGTCATGCATCCCCTCCATGCCTGGGCCTGACTCCGCCAGCTCTCCAGAAATCTCTGGCACTTTCTGGCTGCATCACCTAGACTCCCTGAATCTGTTTCTTTGGCTCTAATAAGGAGCTATGAAGAGCCAGCTTCCTCTCTACCCAGGCCTCAGGAGCAATGCTCCTGGGCCCCTCCCCTCAGCTGCTCCTGTCGGACAGAGTCGGTGTGGGCACGGGAAGGGAAGCTGAGGCTGGCCAACCTGGGGAAAGGGGTTTGAGGGGAGATGGGGAGGGGTCTGCCACGCGGGACGGCAGTCTCATCTGGGACCCCCACTCCACCCCAAAGCACGTGCATTATTCACTTACCGCACTCAGAAAGGGGATGTTGGAGGCATTGCCCAGAAAGCCAAAGACGACAGGGAAAAAGCTCCTAGGAACAGAGGGTGGGGAGGGGGTCAGCGACGGCCTTGGGGGCCAGGGGAGAGGGTGTCCAGGCTGAGGTCCACCCAGAGGCTCCAGCTTTGGTTCCCAAGAAAGTGGGCCCCTGGGCGCTGGGAGCAGGCTTGGATCTGCATCTCTGGTTTTGGGGAGACAACCATGTGGAGAGGTTAAGAATAAAGGGCCTGGAGTCAGGCTCCTTGGGTTCAAATCTTGGCTCTGCCACTTCCTGGTGCCATATAAACTTGGGCAAATTCCTTAACTTCTCTGAATCTCAGTTTCCAGCTGTAAACGGCGTTAATAAGAATAGTATCTATGTCATAGGGCCTTATATGAAGAAATGTTGGGGAAGCTTTCGTGTGTAGGACTGTGACTGTCTTTGTCTCTCTGGACTGGGTGTGTACCGCCGGCTACCCGTCTCCTGGGCTCCAGGCACAGGCGGCTGCTGGAGGCAGCGCTCGCGCGGACTGTCCCCCTCATCTCGGCATGCCCGTGTGTGGAGCCACCCTTTGTTCTCGGCACCCCCACTCTTCTCGGACATGCCCTGGCAAGGCTTGGTCGGGCACGTGTATGGGATCCTTCAATGGGCTTGGAGACACTGAGGTCGGCATGCGGAGGGAGCCATGCGTGTGTGCAGAGGTGAGGGGGTTAGAAATTTGAATTCTGGCTACTTCTTTCCTTGGGCTTCATTTCCCTGAGGTTCCCTA